CTTGGATGTGGTAGCCGTTTCTCAGGCTCCCTCTCCGGAATCGAACCCTAATTCCCCGTTACCCGTTGCCACCATGGTAGGCCACTATCCTACCATCGAAAGTTGATAGGGCAGAAATTTGAATGAACCATCGCCGGCGCAAGGCCATGCGATTCGTTAAGTTATTATGATTCACCAAGGAGCCCCGAAGGGCATTGGTTTTTTATCTAATAAATACACCCCTTCCGAAGTCGAGGTTTTCAGCATGTATTAGCTCTAGAATTACCACAGGTATCCATGTAGTAAGGTACTATCAAATAAACGATAACTGATTTAATGAGCCATTCGCAGTTTCACAGTATAAAGTGCTTATACTTAGACATGCATGGCTTAATCTTTGAGACAAGCATATGACTACTGGCAGAATCAACCAGATACCTAGTTCCTGCAGGGTGTGCCCGGGAGCGTATCCGTAGATATGCTCCGCAAGACGCACCCCAAAGCCTCCGAAGAGGCAGCGTGTAACGTAGGCTTCACTCTGGAAGGGGCACACGAAGTGCCCGGCCACAGCGACACCCCCGGCGCACCGGGAGTACACAGATGACCATCCAATTGCCCCCACTGTAGCCCCCCAGGAACCGGTCCGCACGCAGGTAGACCCGGCCAGGAATCGCCTTTGCAGGCGTTGGCAGGCTGCGGCATACGGCCCTCGGGTGGAGGGTCCAGACTCCGCGGACACGCCGACGAACGGCGGCTCCCGCGGAGCGGCTCCCCCCGGGAATCTGTAAAAGAAGGCTGGCCAGCGGCCAACGATCCACAGACTCCATCGGTGCCGGGGACCGAGAACGGCCCCCGGGCTTCAGACACCCCGGCAACAACGGGCACCCCCGGGCATGATTAAGCCGGCGCGCCTCTGACTTGGCAAGCTACAGATCCCCGCGACACGATATCTCAGGGGTCACGGGCGCGTCCGCAAGGGACACTCCGGACCTCCAGTCGACTCGCAGCCGCGGGGCAGAGCACCTAAGACCAGAGAACACACCAGCCGCGCGGGAGAAATACCAACGGGCCGGGGTGGGCGGGCACCCCCGTTCCTGAAGCGAGGCCCCGAAGGACCTGTGCGCCACCAGTCACGGAGAGGTGACCTGCCTGGCAGGGAAGAAGTGTGGGTGGGCTTCCAGCAGCTGAGATCAGCTGCCTTTCACCTTCCACATAGTACCACCGGCCCTCCCTGGCCCGCAGACCGGCGCGCAAACGTTTTGTGGTCCGAAAGTGAACCGGGGGGGACCCATATAGTATGTGGTGGTCCGTGCGTCAGCCGCTTTTCCCATACAAAGTGGGCCACCCACACATGCCCTCTACCCGGGCTGCAAGGGGACTTAGGCATTTCTGTCCACGCTCGCTGCCCGTTACGCGGCCATACGCTCCGACGTTACGCCCGTTGTGCTCACTCTCGCAAACCGCTGTCGGCCGCCCACGCCGCCAACACCCACTCCTGTGCCCTTCCACTCCTCCGCCCACCGGCCAGTCACGTGGGCCTCCGCCGTAGTTGTGAGGGCTACACAAAACGCAAGCGCCCGGCTGTGCGCCCCCCTCCCCACGCCGGTTGACGGTCCGAGGCGTCGCTACATGGCGATGTGGAGAGGTTGATCGGTGGATTTGCCAGCCCGTGCGGCCTACGACCTGCCTGAGAGGCGTTGTCGGTGGGCGACCTACAAGGATCTCTACGGTGCATGTACGCGAGGTCGGCCAGATATTAGATTTTGGTGTGTTGTGTATCTCTCCATCTCTCCATCTACAGTGTACATTATCTCTATCGTTGTACTATAAACTACACATCGGTGATCTGAATCGAGCGACGTTGCTTACTGGGGGGACGTGCTTGGGTCAGAGCCGTTGGCCATAAGTGGTGGTGCTCCTTGGTTGACCCGGGCGATATATATATATAATCGGCTGCAGGACTAGATCGGATCACACCAAGAGGCCGATGGCCGGCATCCGTGATGGAATTCGCACATGGACAGTCCCGAGCCATCGCTTAATGTCGCCCACGGGTTAGACAGAGCCATCCTTGGTCGTAGAATGACATCCAGAGTCAACATACTTGGTGACCCCCACCATGTCGCTTGGCCAACTGGTCAGCTCCAACGCCCATACAAAGTGGGCCGGCCGGCCGACCACCCGCACGCCGCAATCCGCAGCCATCCACGGCCATCCCGGCCGCCTCGCTGCCTCGCCATCCGCGCGCGCGCCCTACCCCCCATCCCGGCCCGTCTCTCCCCGCGGCGCCTCGCATCACCCCATCTCACCCGGCCAACTGGTCAATTCCCTTCGCCAGCACGCACGCAACTCGCCGCGGGCACCGGACGCCTGCCTGCCTGGCCCTCGCCGTGAGCGCCGGCCGGTCAGCCGCCCCCGCCCTACAGGTGCTCCGGCGCCGTGTGGCCGGCCATCCTGCGTGCAAACGTTCTGTGGTCCGAAAGTGATTCGTGGGGGACGCCCACCGGCCCACCGCGTCCTGGCGACCGTCTCGCGCGGCCAACTGGTCAACGGCCCTTGGACGCGCACAAGGGCCCGGACGGCCTCCTTGCCTTGACGCCGTTCGAGCCAAGTCAACGCGATTTGATTCCAGATCCATCCCTTCCTTCCTCGGCGAAGTCGAATGGCCAACTGGCGTATGAAGTTGGTCGAAGAGAAGGAGGGAGGGACCCTGGCTCATGGCCGGGGGTCCCATCCCAGAGCCCCCTCCAACCGCCCGGCGCTGCCGGACCTGTCAGTGGGGGAGGTGTATAACACAAATCTAGCCAAGGACGGGCTGACGCTCAGCGACTCGTAGCAACAAGGCTACTTGACCGCGTACACGACCCGCTTGGTCACTTCAGTCGTCTGCAGAGGATTCATCCCCGCGCGAGGTGACATTGCAATTCGCCAGCCAGCTCCCAGGGGCTTCTCCCTAGGAGCCGTCGCCAGCCTGCTGAGGTGCATGGCCCGGAG